AAACACGACGAGGTCTGTTGGCTGTGAGTTTGGCAGATGGAGTTGTAGAGCACACGGCTGCAACGTTCAGGACCCATAACCAACCAAAAGCTTGAGAAAGGACGTGCTTGCAGTAGCTGGAAGCTTTTCGTGCCCTTACCAGCTAAATTCCCCACCCCTCCTGCGATGGTTCAGACCAATAGTTATACTTGAGCCTGGGCTCCTTTCGCTCTTTCCCGGATCCTGTTGCTGTCTCTTGAGGTCCTGGAAGGAAGGAGATGGTCCAGACCAGGACATTTAACTCTTTCCTGGGGTGAGAGGAGGCTTCTGTCTCTCCAGTTCCAAACAAGAAGGTCCTAGTACCCAGACAGGTCTTATCTCCAAGTCTGGACATGCTCTCTTTTGGGGTGTGAATCACATCACCCTGCCAAGTGATTCACTCCCTCACCCAGTGCCATGGGGAGCCAAGGAGGCCGCTGCAGATGAACCCTCCTGCAGTGGTAATCCTGCATGTGGAGCTTGCTCTCTGGTCAGACACGCACACGCAGATGACTGCTTTCTAGAATGTATTACTAATTTCTGACTTTCCAAATGTAAGAAGAGTGATATAAGCTTACCCAAAGTTAATATGAAGGATCCACCAGTACACCTATTTTTGTTGTTCTTTTATGTTTTGCTTTTTTTATTTTTCCACATGATAATGTACCATGTCAGGAGTGCATAATTTTTAAAATTTTCCAAATTCTCTTTAAGAGAAATTGGAAAAAAAAATCTCCTTCAGCTCCACAAGCAGAGAAAGCTAGCATTATCTTTGATTCTTCTTACAGATATGTAACTACATTATTTTAATGGCATATATTTTAATCGCATTACAGAAGAGGAAGCCTGTAGTTGGCTGGCACTTCATGTTGTTCCCCTGTGGCCCTCAAAGGATTTCTAGACAGGTAGCAGTATCAGTATTATTAACACGTGTGAAGAATATCTAGGGTTTTTTTTGTTATTTGTTTGTTTCTTTTTCTGAAGAATATCTAGGGTTTCTTTTTTTGTTATTTGTTTGTTTCTTTTTATTTTTAAGTACTGTTATATATAAATCTGTCTGGTGACTGACAATACCAAATCTTAAAGGATTTATTTTTGTTGTACTGCATTTTTTTTATAGAAAAGGTATTTCATTGCAATAAATGATAGCGAGTCATTTATTACAATGTATTATCGGTTACATGTAAAGATGTCCAGCTTGCAAGTATTTACAGTTGTGCCACTGTATAATTCATCTCAAACCCACAGAGCAAGTTTGTGAAAGACAAATATCTCAAATAGAAATATCAAGTCTGTTACATTATACATCAATACATTAACTTCAAGATTTAATGTGATGTTAGATCAGAAATGAGCTTTCGGAGAAAGCCATACTGCATGAAATACGGATTTAATCGTCATTTTCCATCTTCAGTTACTCAATATCTCATCCACCTGGCATTTACATCCAAACCAGGAGTTCCACATCCACTGAAACCAGCAAGTGTATAAACTGTTGGGTTTATGGAAAACATTTCATAGTTATCCACTGAAATTCTCAAATACTTATTTTTAAAAGGACACAACTGCTTGCTAACTCCCTGGACCTTTCGTGGAGTGTGTTTTGAAGCTTAAGCAAGGTTTTGTTGACTTTTCTTCACCCTGCAGGTAAAGTTTGCTGGCAAACAGTATCCAGATTCTGTGCCTTCTTACATTTTTGCAAGCATTATTAAACACCTATTTAATTTGTGTCCACAAAGAAGAAGCACAGTAGTTGCTGCCTTGAAGAGCTGAGGTGTAACATGACAAGTTTCACATAAAGAGCCTGATAGGAATGATAGGCACGGTTTCACATAGTACTTGCAATTTTTAAAACAGTCCAAAAGTAATTAAAGTCAGTAGAAACCGCCTTTATCCTTCTCCATCAAGAACAACTCATTCCACAAGGGGTGCAGAATGAGTTGGAAAGATTTGCAGGAGCTGCTGCTCCTGGGGTGTGTTTGAAAACCCATTTCAGTCAGGGGCTCTTTCACTTTCCTCATTAGAAACCAGCAACTTGCCATTTTGGCTGAAGAGCGTAGCACTAATTAGGCAAATTTCAATATGAATTTTAATGTCACATAAACCTTACCTTGGAAATGAATTTATTTCTTCCAGATTTGGCTCTAGCGTGCTTCTGACCTATTTAGTTTCTTCATGAAGATGTATTTGTCTAGTACCAAAAAAGCAAAAACTTCTGCACTTAAAATCAGCTTGATTTCAAGGTAAGTGAAAATTTAAGTGTTCCAATTTCTTCAGAGTTTTTCTGGAATAAATGCCAGGATAGCATCTTGTAAAGGTATATGTGTATACATATGAGTATCTGTGTATATATGATTTCTATTCTTTAGTTTAACTGCTTAGGGTATGAGAACATCTGCAATATGGCATATGGCAGACCTAGAACAAGACTGAGAAAGAGAAGCAAACTTGAATCTAACCTCCAAGACTATTATTTTAGAACTATGTTTAGTATTCTGTGGCAACAAATAACTATTAATGCAACAGAGGAATAACATTGCTAGAAATGGAATATAACAGTACAGCCCTTAGGAAAATGAACACATTTTTTTTTCCCAGAGGCTCACAAGATGTTGTACATCAGGAGAGCCAGGATGGCAGCTGGATGCACTACCTTACTCTAGGAGGAGTTCTGGGAATCCTGGCATGAGGGGGAACAGCTTCCTCAGCACTTTGCTTCATGGTCTGGACAGTGTGAAATTGAAGTTTTCTGCTCTTTCTAGGATTGAGGGAGGTGAGAGGATGGTCTGCATAATGGGGGCCTCACTGTTTCACACATTTTGGTCACTTGATGGTCTGCGGTCATTTTGGGTCTGAACTTTGTTTTACTTCACTAGTCTGATAGTGCCTGTGCAGATAAAAATGCTGCCTTGGTTGACTCCATTTTGTTTGTTATTACAAGGAATAACAGAAAAATACTGTATGCAGCATAAAGCCCGTCCAATAGCTGGACTTAATGTGGTTTAACTGTCGACAGCATGGATGTAGCTCTCTCCAAAACAGTTATATTCCTGTAAGTATGACCTGCAGACCACTCGGATGCCCAAAAGTACCAGCCCTCCGTCCCACGCAGCTTTCTGCTCTCCTCTTCTGCCAAAGGCTGCTCATCAGTGAGCGGCCCTGTCTGTCAATGGCAGCTGAAGTCACTCACTAAGGACCTCCAAACTTTAAGACTCTGCAGAGCAGAGGAAATTGTGAATAATGTTTGAAATACTTAAATACTGTAAATACTTAGGTGGCAATCAGCCACCTATCTTTATAGCCCCATGGTCCTTAAGTGTGAGCTAATGTGCCGCCAGCCCGGTGCCGGCGCTGGGGAATCCTCTCCTGCAGGATTCCTTGCCAGGATGCTCCCTAGGTGCTTTGAAGGAGAGCTGGCGGGTGGGCCATGTTCCCGGGGTGCTTGGGCACGGGCTGGAGGCTGCTTTGGAGGCCAACTTGCCGCCTGCATGTGCAGCTCTCACCTCGCTCCGGCACCAGGAGTCAACGTTTCTGTTACGCAGCCTACAAAACCTGCACACGTGAGAGGGACGGAGCTGGGGCTCCCGTTCCCCTGGAGCACCGTCCGCAAGTGCCTGTGGGCAGTGCGCTCACGGCATGCCTGGCAGCTGGACTGTGCTCCTCAGCCCCAGCGACACGGGTATTAACTCTGATTTGCAGCTCAGCATTCTTGATTATTATCATTCTAACACCTCTTAAAAGTCCAGCTACCTCTATATCCAGCTCCACAAAATAGCCTTTTTTTTCTTTATTTTTTTCTAATTCAGCCAGTGCTTTTATCCTGTTATATATATATATTTATATATTTCCATCACCTGTTTGCACAGGTTCCCTGTGATATGAAATTCCATTCACTAGGTTCCACTCTTTCTACCCTTAATCACCAGTAGAGGGAGAGGTCAGCTAATTTCCATAGCCTAATTTAGATCATCTCTGTGTTAACAGTAGGGCTAGTACTGGCCAGTTCTTTTCTATAAATCTGCTTCAGCCATTTTGACTGTGTGAGAATTAACTACAGATTATAATACAACTCACATTGGAAATAAGAAATATAAATTTGAATTTTTGTGTGTAATTTGTGTTAGATGCTTGGCCTAACTGGTTAGGAACTAGAACAAAAACATGAATTTCAAAATACATCATTTTTCTTTGATTATTTAAAAGTAATTAGCAGCTAATAGTTGGTGGGGAAAACACCTTTTGATGACAGGCTTTGGTCAGAACAGGTAATTCACAGTATTTTTTTTCTGTGGTACAAGAAGGAAGTTGCATTAAGGAAATAAGTGTAGTACAGTAATTCTTCATACTATGCCAAATGGCATAGTAAGAGGAGAGTCAGATTAAATGGGGGGAGGCAGAACACAGACCTGCAAATCCTTGCTTGCTGCTGAAATTCTGTTGGCATCAGAGTGATTATTCCAGAAAGAGGGAATGTCTGCATCAAATTCAGCCAACTAATCCTATTGCATTGCCTATTTACAGCCCTCTGTGAAGGACAGGGGGGAGATGATTAACATAACAGCATATCTTTTCTTCAAATAGTTTCATGAAGAAGATTGTTCAGAGAAAGCAACAGTATTGCAAGTTGCTCATAGTCAAGAACTGGAATATGAATTAGGCAGCATGAACCTGCCCATATTACAAAACAGAAAAAAAAGCAATTTTAATAAAATAAATATAAAAAGTCAATTAATTCGAGTGAATTTTAAAGATCAGAAGATTGCATACAGTGCTCCATAACAATGAATTATCTCTGTTTTATAGTTTCAGGAGTAAGGGCACTTGTTTGACTGAATAACAAATGCGTATCATTTAGCAGCATGCTGAGCAATAGCATGGCATTTAATTTTTCTGCAAATTGAGGCATGCAGTTTTGCAGGATTTATATGTTTTTTTTTCTTCCAGATCAGGAAGTTAGATGGCTTAAGACTAAAAATGTGCTTTGCTAATTTCCCTGTGATGGTCTTTCAGTTGTCAGTCTTGGTCTTGGAAGTTTCTCGTAGCTGTTCACGCAGCTTTGATATCTCCAGGAAAAAAGCTGCAAACACTTTGGTTCCTTTGATGTAATTATGTCTGTGAAGAAGGGAGGAAAGAGAAAGAAGAACTATCAGACTGTTTCTGCTATTCAAGTTAATGGCCTGGTCCTGTGAAGTTTTCAGCATCTTCAGAAGAACTTGCAAGATTGGTCACCCAAAGAACCCGCAGAAGATACTCAGAATTATAAAAATGATTGATTTATCAGTGACAACTATATTACTGTTGGCTTACTTTAGTATAGGAGAGAGGTAAAAGAGGAAAAGCACCTCTCTGGGGTTGAGAAAGGAATTGTTGTGTTCTAGCTCCCTGCTCACGCCTGCTGTGATGACAGTTTTTTTATTTTCTTGTGTCATGAGTACAAGTGGTAGACAAAGTAAATGGCCATGGAGGTGACCTCATTTGCCCCTTCAGTCTGCAAGGTACCCATAGAATCACAGAATCATCAAGGTTGGAAGGGATCTTTGGAGATCATCTAGTCCAACCCCCCTGCACATGCAGGGTCACCTACAGCACGTGGCACAGGACCGCGTGCCTTGGTTTCATTCATTTACATTACAGGAACAGCAGGAAGGCATGGAGGAACGGATTCCTGAGAAAAGGATTCGCTATAATTCTGGCTTCCCTGCAACTGGCTTTCCTCAGAGGGACACTCGGAGATAGCATTTTCATTAGTGCTGTATCTCCTGCTGCAGCCTGGTGTATCCTGATGTATCTCCTGCCTGTGACGCAAGGGCTGGGGCTGCCCTGGGGAGGGGGAAAGGGGCGAGGGGAAACCCGGTGTTAGCGTGGGGCTCGGCACGGCACACCAACAGCGCTCTGAATAGTGTATTACCATGGCACCTGGAAGAATAAGGAGGAGTGACAAGTCTAAGCTGATTTTGGTGTAATTACACTAGTTTTGGTGCCTGTAATATAAATATATCTTTAAATATATTAAAATGAAAAACACCCAAATCCTTTCTTAATTGCTTAACTGAGCACGTCTGTCTGGAATACTTCAAAATGGATGTGGTGAGGGAAAAGTGCCCTTCTACATCATCACCATCTTTCAAACGAGAGGAAGATTTCAAAATGAAAATTGCCAGTGCCATGGGTTTAAAGACTAACTAGTCAATTTATGAAAAGTTATATAGCAATATTTGATAAATTTGGAATTTTGTTTTCTGCACGACACAGTAACAAGTTTCCTTGAGGTGGCAAGCTGCGACAGGCCACTGGAGAGTGAAGAACCCCATCTGGCAATACTTGTGTGTGGCCACCCAGGCACTTCAGTTCTTCCCCTTCTCTGGTAGCACAAATGAAGAAATAAAAAGAAACCTGCTTATTTTCTCATTCTGGGAGTGCTCCCCATCATCAGCTGCTCCAATTGGAAGCATTATCACACTTTTCTGCATTATAGTCTGAAACATTCTGGCAATAGGAATCGTTGAGCCATCCCGAATAAAGTCTGGATCTTCTCCAAAAACTGAAATACATGAAAAGAGTTGGTTTTATTATGTGAAATAAGGATCCTTTCTTCTGCCAACAAATATCTGCTATCAAATATCTGCAACATGCTCAAACAAAGAACTTCTTCACAAATGCTTTTCGAGTGCTTAGCCAACTGATTTCATGAATCTGTTGCTCTCTACAGACCTCTGACTTTGAATCAGAACAAAAAAAAAAAAAGGGAGATCTTTTGGCTGCTCCTCCTAAGTACTCCCCAGCTCAGGAAAACACAAACATTGAGGCCTGACTGGCTGAGGGGTCCCACAGAAATCAATGACAGATTTCTAAGGGTCAACAGCTATACTACTGAATGAGGAAATCTAACTTGTTTTAAGGCTCAGCATGATTCTTTCTTAAACTTGCAGAGATGATACTAAAAATGAAAAGAAGACCTGCCTGTTCTTATTGCCCTTCTCGCTGCTATATATACTGGATCATTAATATCAGCAAGCCAGGGCTTTGCACCCAAAGACATAGACACTTTCAGTTTATTCGGGCTGTTCCTCTTGGAAAATACATCCTCCAAGTACTCTGCCACCTACAAAGAAAAAATATACCTGTAAGAACTGTTTGTCTTGTTTCAGCTCACAAACTTACACCTACATTTTCTAGTCTCATAAAGTGCCAAACGCTGGAAACACTTAGTTTGCTGCTAGTTTGTGGCATTGAGAGGGACCTCATTTATCTAGAATGAGCCAAAAACAAAACAAAACAAATAAAAAACAAGGTAGGCTTCTTACCTGTTGTTTAACAACTGAAAGGTCCATGTGGGGGACTTGACGGATTGAAAATTTGCCTATGACTTTTGCTGGAATGACTGTTTTAAATCCTGGTTCATGAAAAGCTCCTTCAATCCCATGAATAGAGAGAGAAGGATAACGCCACAGGTGTAGAAGTATCTCTTCCTTCAAAAAACAAGGGATGACGCTAGAACCATTCACAAATTACAGAATTAAAGTGAACAAGATTTTTCCATCCTAAAATTTTACTTGGAGGCCTCTGTATTTTAAAGGTTTGTGTTTTAAACCTTGCTAACATATTTTCATATTTTAAAAAGCACTACTTTTCAATCAAAATTATCAACATTTGTTTACCTCAAAAAATATTTCACAGAATCACAAAATGGTTGAGGTTGGAAGGAACCTCTAGAGATCATCTGGTCCAACCCCTCCTGTACGTGCAGGGACACCTAGAGCACGTGGCACAGGGTCTCATTCAGGCGGGTTTGGAAGATCTCCAGAGAAGGAGACCAGTTATTCATGGACAACAGAAAAAGCAAACATTTCATTAAGAAACATCTTGGAAGTAAAACATTTTTGGTGTAAATGTAAAATAGATTGAAAAAGAGAATGTATGCTGCATTTCTAAAAAACGTATTGGGGGTCTCTCCTCTCTCCTATGCAATTTCTGCTGAACAATTAACTGTATTATTTATATTTTTGTTAGTGGTTAACATTTTTCGTTTTAGATAATAAATTGTGATAATTTATACACAGCCCATGCAAGATGTGTTTAAACATTTTTACTAGATGTGCTTTAGATTAATGGACTAATTTGAGTTGAAAAAAAATAAACCTGATGCTTCTTGGGCTTAGAACAACTTCTGACTTGACCACCTACCAATCCCAGAACTTCTACTTACAGGAAAAACCTGCGAACAATTTAGCCAGACCCTGTCAGAAGTACCAGGCAGAACTCATAAGTTCTCCAAGTAGAGAAGGGAAGATTTTTTTTTTTATTATTAATGAGCATCTCATCTAAATAATACAAGAGGTAAAATGACTATAATTAATAGCCAAGTTGATCTGTTTTTCTATAAAATATAAGAAGGAAAAAACATGAAAATGTTTATTCGAAAGAAGAAAAGAAAGAAAGGAAATACTATCATATCTGGCAGCTCCTTTTATATAAATTGTGATTGCAAAGCAGAACTGCTTCTTTCTTTGTACTCCAATTTTATGAATATAGATCCTTAAGTGCACATAAAAGTTGCATTGCTTCATCCGGGTACAGGCATAGTACCAAACTTTAGTATGGTTATGCTTTACTTGTATATTACTGATAATTACTTAAGCTAATTCAGAGTTTTTTCCATGGGAATAATTGCATCCATCTTATATTATACTGGTATAATTATGTTAGTGATAAAAAATGAATGAGAATCCCCTCTTGTCTCCAGGCTGCCACTTTTGTGCTAAGCCTGCCCTTACCTACTTTTGTGTTGTTTTTATGTGTTTTATTTTTTAATTTAGGATGTAATTTGTAAATGCTGGCAAAGTGTTAGGAGCTTTTTGCCATACTCAGCAGACATCAAAGTCTGAATTAAACAAATAAAAAGCCCAGAACACATCAAACTAAAGCTGCCTTCCACTTTTCAGATATGAACACAACTTCCTTTTTACCATCTGCTCTGTTTTGAGGGATTTAATGCTTATTGTGCTTGCCTGGTGGGTTGCAGGTTGGATTCTGCCGATCAAGAGAAGGGGTAGCCAAACTGTTTTACATTACTCCTTTTCATTGCTTAATCATTTTGGATCACCTTCCCCAAAAGCCGTCATTTTCAGCAGGTTTATTTAATTTTATTGAAATTTTAATGCTCTGCACTCCTTTATTTTCTGGAAATTGCCATTGATTGAAAATATCTTTCATTTTGACTTCATCTATAAATGCTATGAAAAGGTCATTTGCATTCTTTATGCTGATGATTTATACGGATGCCATTTTACCTTGGTATCATAGAGGAATTTTTTCACTCCGCTATTATTTTTCTGTTCCTCTATATCAAATTCAATTGATTCATACAACTTCCTCTCCTCCTCTGTCAGGGCAGCAACACTATCATAGATTCCAGGGATCTGAATATGACCTGTGGAATCCACAAGGCTGTCTACAAAATAAGATAAAGATATCAGTAAATGTAGGATCTGTTTCTAATTTTTATTTCTTTTACACGTCTTTTCCTGTTTCCTTAAGTCAACTCACCTGAGTGACTGGTTCCCTAATTGTTTGCAGCTACCACATTGTGGCCTTTAAGTTAGGGCGTTTTGTAATTTATTAAGAAATCTGTGGAGGTGCTGTTTGCAGTGTCTGCTTTCACTGCTCTGGCCACTGACGTGAAAATATCATCTTATTAAGACACAAATTAGCATCAAGGAAATCAGGTTTCACCCAGGTTTAACTGGGTACGAACAAAAAATGCCATTAACCCTTTACCCCGCTTTATTAACATCCAGGCCATAAACAAGTGTGTGAACGAAAACAACTGGATAAGGCCGGAGCACCGCTGGGAACATCTCCTTCCTTAGCGACCATCACCACAGCAGTGCGGACACTAGGGCACCTGGGATCCTGCTCACTTCATAGAATCACGGAATCATTAAGGTTGGAAGAGATCTTCTAGTCCAACCCCCTGCTCCAGCAGGGTCACCTAGAGCAAATGGCACAGGGTGGCATCCAGGCAGGTTTGGAAGATCTCCAGAGAAGGAGACTCCACAACCTCTCTGGGCAACCTGTTCCAGGGCTCTGTCACCCTCAGTGTCAGGAAATTTTTCCTTAAGTTCCTGTGGAACTTCTGGTGCTTCAGTTTGTGGCCGGTTTCTGTTCTCCTTTCCGTGGCGTCAGTGGCCACCACTGAAAAGGGGCCGGCCCCATCCACCCTTCCTCCCTTGAGGTACTTACAGACACTGATCAGGTCCCCTCTTGGCCTTCTCCAGGCTGAACAGGCCCGGCTCCCTCAGCCTTTCCTCACAGGGCAGATGTTCCAGGCCCCGATCATCCTCGCATTCGCACTTGCCTTCACGCCGCTCACCCGAGCACGGCCTGCCCTGTGTGCGCCAGCGGGCTGCCACTGCCCCAAATACCCCCCGAGCCACGGTGCTCGTCATTACCCAGCAGAGCCACCAGGTCCGTCATGGGCTCGTGGATGATGCCCCCAAAGGTCCCAGAGTGAAGGTCCTTGTCACCACTTTCGACCTGTATCAAAATTCCTCAGTTACATATCAATATTCCCTTCCTTACTGTTCTGCAATTACTTGTTTCTCACCAGAGCAGGTACTTTTAGCTTTTCAAATAAGGCCACAAATAAATGGAAAACTATTTTCTGTTTCTGTTTATAAAATGGACAACCTAAGTTTAGGAATGGCCCACTTCTGGAAACAAAAGATACAGCCTGATTGTAAACCATTAGAGAGAGAAATTCAGATGTCTATATTACTTACAGGCCTTTGAAATCAAATATCTCTCTCCATTCCCTCTTTAGCTTCAGTAAAATTAAACACATCACAAGCGACACAGTTGTATATTACTGTTTCTAACATTATGGAATAAATTCTTCAAGTTCTGCATTCTTCTTATTTAACACAAAATCTTTATAACAAATGCAAGACAATCTTATTTGTTTAGCCATAAGAAAATGTATGTATGTCCAACCTTAATTCCAAATTTCAACAAATAAGAATTTAGTGGTCTCTTGAATCACAGAGCATTAGAATATACAAAGGCATTTCATTTGTTTAATGGTTTCTTTTCCCAGGCACATTTTCATACTCAGGTTAATCATAAACTATTTTCCTTCAACAAAATTGTTTATTCTTCTCTAAAGCTCATTACAGTCAACTGTCTGGTAGCAGGCAGAGATCATTTTTGATGTTTTAATAGCATTATTTTTCTTAACCAAGACTTAGAAAAATTAAACCAAGGCTGATGAAGTTCCTTTAGGTTTAGGTTTAAACCAAATTTTGTTTATTTTCAGACATAAAGGTTAGTGCAGGGTTTTCTCTAGTTCTCTGGTTCTTTAATCCTGCTCCCTGAATTCTTCTATGCTTTCACAGGAACTTTCCAGCTGAGGAATTTCTGCTCTTTATTTCACAATGGCTTCTGTTGGCTGCTAAATATACTATAGTGGTTACCAAAAAAAAGTGTGTTTTTTAAACCCAGGGATCCAACTAAACTGAGTCCCGTTAGGCAGGTCCTATGCACTAAGCTGCTGCAAAGGGGCAGAGTAGCAGAGAAATCGTTTTGGAGAGGGTCAGGGTGTTTGCACACACGTGCGTGTGGATGTAGGAACAGCTTTGCAAGAGAACAAAGTTGATGTGAGGAGGAGGCAATGAGATCAAAAAGTGACAGGAGAGTAACGGGATAGGAGAGAGATCAGTGTGATTGCAGGTACCTCGTCACTGTGCACTTGGCAACCCGCTCAAACCAAGCTGTCCCCTTTACCTCCACAAAGAAGCAGGCGTTTCCCCGCGTGCCGTACGTGAGGGCAGGCTTCCTCTTGCTGAGCCAAAGGTTGTCCGAAATCACAAAGCAATCCACATCAGCAAAAAAGCACTGCTTCTCTTCCTCAAGCAGCTTCTCTAGCCCCAGAGACCCTGCTTCTTCCATACCTTCAATAACAAACTTGAAGTTTACGGGCATAGCCTAGATGAATTATTAATGAAGCCCGGGTGAGGAACAGGCATTTTCAAACAATAAAAAGAACCATTTAAAATGCAATAGCAAAAGTGTTTGCAGTATGTATTACGACAGGAAAAGAAGGAGGTAATTTTTTTTTTTTTCCAATAGAGTAGCATTGACAGATACACACACAGAGTAACCCAGCAAAGCTTATTTTACTTATGTGTTTTTTTAAAATTCCTTTTATGAAGAATGCAAAAGGGAACATATATATTTTTTTTTTTCCTACTTCAGGTTTCCAGAAAATCTGCTGGACTGTCTGGAAATTTTCTGAGAAAATGAAACTGGTACCACCAGTTAGGCTTTCCAAAGCAGTTAAAATATTTAGCAGTGCTGAGAGAAATGCCATTTAGTGAGACAGTCCAGCAAGTTTTCGTATTTCCACTTCTGTATTTCCACTTTCGAATTTCCACCAGGAGTACTCATACGGAAACCACTGGAAAAGGACTATTACTGCTATTTTCACAAAATCTGAAGCCAGGGTTGGTCAGATTATGGCAAAAATGCTTCTGGCAGTTTTATTATAATTGTTGTATTAGCACCTATGAATCTGTGTGCCTGCTAGCTAGTAAGGATGCATTTCCAATGGAAATTAAGAGAACCTTTATTAGGGAATAGTGAGGGTTAGAAATGCTGACATGTCCCATAGAAGGAATAAATTTGAGCTCAATTTCTATTCTACTTCATTTTCTCATTACAAGTTTTAAGATGTTTTCTGTTTGTTTCAGTTCTCAGATTAAAACCAGGAATAAATGTCTAGAATTGCAGAAACATGTTATGGATAAGTTTCCCAAGAGTTCATCAAATGACTATTAAAAATTTAGAAATAAACTGCTTGTGAATATTGTCTGATGGTCTGTGCTGTTTTATGGGAAATTATTTATTTTTCTTTTTTTCTTCTTGCTTGTTAAAATGCCAGAATAACTTGGAATAAATTGAAAAGACACAGAAAGCTGTGACCTGATCCATTTACAATAGCTAGTAAGTGGCCAAATAACTTGTTTGCAAGTTCATTACTTGCACTTAGGGATATGCTGAGTTCAGGTCAGTATTACTGATACAAGAAAACCATCAGTTTTTCAGAAGGTTGTGAAAGGGCTTTAAAACCAAGTCTTAAAGCACAGTCTATGTGCATAATGCCTTAACAGAGGCACAAAAGTAGTTTTCAGCAATCCAACAAAATATATTGTGGAAATTTGCCTTAGGAAAGGTAGCTAACCAGGTTTTAAGTGTGGACTAGCTAACTAAAGCTATTTCAAAATTGCTAAATACACTGACTGTCTTATAGACAACTGTGCCACTCACTGTGGTAGTCCAGGCAAAACCTGATTCTGAGAGACCTACCAGCCTCTAAGGGGGTGTATGTGTGCATGGTTAATGCATCCATGCCAAGTATTTTCTTTGATAAATCTAATACATTGTTGAAAGAATACTGCATTACATATGAGCATTTTGAGATACTTAATCTCTTTTTGCCTATACACAAACTGAAGGTAACTTACAAGTAGCCAGGACTCAAGATCAGCAGAATGTAACAGCAGAGATGAGTCTTCATGACCAATCCCTGATTTATGTAGTTTTACAATTTTAAAAGTGCTCAAGAGAATAGTTCTCAAGGGCATTTAATGTATGTAATATATATTGAATGCTTGCCTTCTCCCTGCCTATTTTACTCTGCAAGGCAATGACAGTGACACTATATTTACATTGCACACAGCCTATTCAAAATATAAATGCTCAGGACAGATGGTTCCTGGAGTGGGACCAGTGTCCTAGATGTAATATTAGAAATAATCCAGTATTTTAAAATGCACATGATCTGTTGGAACACACACATATCCTGTAACTCACAGGAGGGGAGGTTTATTCCTCCAGAGAGACACTGTAATAATAAAAATATTTCTCTCCAATACCTACTAATTTCAAGGCTCTGAAAGTTTCCACTGCATTTATCCAGGCTAAGACAGGTCCTTTATTATCTGTTGCTCCACGCCCGTAGAGATTTCCTTAAAAATAAAAGAAAAATCTCTTAGGCAACCTTTGAAACTTCTCTTGCCACTCCAGTGCTATTAGAAATCCCTGCTGCCAGAGAAGGCACAGCAGTGTGTCAAGTGACGGGTCAATATCATGAGATTTTTGTCACCTTGTTTTAAGTGAGGTAAGGGATGTTTCCCAGTGGCCTCGTATGTTATTGCACCAATCTGAGCTTCACCCCGTTCTTGGAAGCTCTTAGCTCACCCCAGGCATGCCTGGCACCGCGGCATGTCTCGACACAACATGCAGCTTCTCCCCGTGGATCTGTGGGAGTCCCCGCTGGAGGCAGTGGAGTTACTGCAATGTGTTTGTTTGGAAACGATCCCCACAAATGGAAAAGAGGGACTTAATTGCTATAGTGCAGAATTGGCAATCACGATTTGAGTTCTCAGCCTTCCTTGGCCACTGACCCTCCATCTCTGCTTTTTCTTCCTTCAGTGCATGGTGCTTTTTGTGCCCAGCTGGTTGCAGCAGAGGGATTATTACATTAAGTGAGACCTCTCCTTCCTCCCCTGTGAATGCTCCTGCTCTGCAATGAGGAGGGCAGAGGGAGTACAGCGTTATGGAGCAAGAACAAACTGCGGGAGGGGGGGTCATGGTTGATTCAACGAGAGTGATAGAGCAGAAGTGCATTCTCTGTTTAATCGTCTATAAAGCAACACTAATCGCACGTGGCTCTTCCACACCACATATTGAACAGTAACTCTGAGATTTCACTACTCAGAGCATAGTCATCTAGACCCAAGTCCACAGGATTTGTCCCAGAGACTTTCATGAGAGAAGTCATCATGCTTCAATTAAATATGTAAGATATATAACCTCTTCCCTCTCCAAATCTCGGGGATGCATTCGCATAATGATGCTAAACCTACGATCAGGTACCCACCATTGATTTCAGTCAGCGTGTAGGGGTCAGTTTTCCAGCCGTCTTCTTTTTTGGCAGGCTGCACATCCACATGACCATAGAAGCATACGGTGGGTTTTTGTGGATCCTTGCCCAGTTCTGCAAGAATGACAGGTGGCAGCAGTAGGTTCCGCCCATCGGGCAACTATAGAAAATGTTAAAAAAAAAAAAAAGGCAAAAAGCTGCAGAAACTTGCAAGTGCTATAAGAAAAACAGCAATTTTCAGCAATGAAAATCCTTTTACATTACTCTGATTTGAAATACTCTGATTTGATCAGATGACTGAATTTGACTTTGACTCCAGCTCCAAACTACACAGAAACTAAGATCCCCTCCCCACCCATCACCTTCTATAGGGACTTTATGGAGCATTTCTAAAGTGTTACTTTGACAAACATACTGTTTGCTGAGCTTTGCTCAGAAACAGATCTTGATGGTAGAGAAGACAAAGCTGTAGTGCTGTGTGACAAAAGTACATGTCCCGACATTGAAATAGTCAAAGCCACACAGAAAATAACTGGCAGGTTGGTTTTGCAAGAGACAGATACCAGGAGGCCTGCAACAACCTCAAAGAAAGAAATGAAATGAAATTGTGCTCGCAGAAAGCAGCAGCAGCTATTTCATGCTGTTTTGAAAGCAGGTTAAGGCTTCAGACCAATCCTGTAATGTACAGCTATGTGAAACAGATCTCAGCATTGGTCAAGGGCTGGGTGGGGTTGGGGCTGCATGTCTCAGAAGTGAGAAACAAGAGTCAGAAGAATGTGTGCACTATGCTGTATTTGCCAATAATATTAGTATGTTGCAATATTAAAGCATAGCAGCTTCTTCCTCATAAAAACCCAGACCCAAAAGAAAAAAACAAATTTGCAAAACAATAGTTCTTTTTTCAGCAGAGAAAGGCATCTCTGGGGTCTGCTCCAGAAACGGTTAATCTACTCCCTGTTGTTACTAACATAGACTGTTGCTACATATTTTGACAATCATAGTTGTATACCACATGCATGCTGATGTTTTAATTTTAACTGTATTTATTACAACCAATGAATCACATAACCTTAGATTATTAAAGTTTTGCTGTTCTGCAATATCTTTGTGCTTGGACTATCATTGACCTTCCCAGAAGCCCCAGAGAAAGAAAAACACAACTGGAGAATTAATGAACTTTTAAATTCTTTTTAGCTTAGAAACCTAACAGCACAGGGCAGCAAAGAAAGATCCACTATGATAAGAAGTGGTAAACGAGAGACAAAGACTCCTCAGGGATTAACTCTTGCCTGCCATTTTCCAAGGATCATCATTAAAACAAACAAACAAACAAACAAACAAACAAAACAAGGCTTGTGTGACAGAAGTTTCCGAAGAGATGATATTCAGGATATCTAGCATTCTTAGCCTGATAAAAATTTAGCCTCACATTTTTGCATACTTCTTTCACCCAGTTAAAAGTGTTGAGCAGTCCCTGGTGTGCTGATAACATCCACTTGCATTTGGATTGTCTGAACAATCTCATAAGGTTTCATATTCAACCTGAGGAAGGACTGAGTTTGGCAGGGATTATCTGACTATGGGACTGACTATTGAAAAACTCTTGCCCAGCTACAAAGAATATGAGTAAGTCATAGCATATATGTGCATATGCATAGCAGTGAATGTAATAGGTATAACATGGGACAAGAAAATCCAGTAATTTAAATAGAGGAATGAAAGATGCACCTGATGCGACCCCAGGTTTACTGAGTTAACAGTGGCTCCCAGTGCTCTGAGTCTGTCGGCTGCTAATGCCACCATTCGTATTACTTCTCTCCTGAGATCTGGTTGAGCAGAATCGCTTTCCACCGCCACCCATTCCTCAAGGTTCTGGATAGGAAGACAAGAGATACAGCTAAATAAATCAATGGGTCTAAAAAGCAGGACTCTGCTGTTTTTCCTGTGAATACAAATAGTATTGCTCTTGAAGATGCTTTCTTTTCTGGCCTGTCACAGCCTCGATAGAGACTCTGCACCTTTACTCTGTTAAAGGATCGTTAGGACCCTGGATCACCTTATTTGCATCTGAAACGTCCACTTCAGACTTGGCCCAGGACAAAAGCATCAGCTCTTGACTCCTTCACCGTACTCCTCCACAGGGCTTCCCCCAGAACCTCTCCTGACCACAGCAGGAGTCGGCTTCCTGCTACCCTCCTCCCTCGGGACATTGTGCCTGTCAGAACCCCTCTGTTCCTGGGAGAAAAGCCTCAGGCCACAGAAGAATTGCTGAGATGGCTTCCTGATCCTTCCTTTTTAAGCAGACAGGGCACCCACTGTCACCAGCAGATCTAAAATTCTGTCTCCAAGGAGTTAGACTGGATCACAACTAATAGTT